AATTAGCATATAAACAACACACTGGAACAGCGAAATATTCCGTGCGGTTCTCGTAACTTGAACCAATCACGTTCCTTCTTTTGGTGGAGCACGTGCAGTCAGACAATTGGCGCCAAATTTGAGTTAATTAATTCAATTGTACCAAGAGGTGAAGTTGCTGGTGAATATTTCGAAGCCTAAAATACTTGAAACTAGTGCTTTCCACGCCGGCACACCAAAGGTTAAATAGCTCCAAGGCTTTAATTGCATAGCTGGCAAAACTACGGCAGGTAAGACAGTGTTTTAGTTAACCAAATAGTCTTATTCTGTGAGAGTTCAAGTAGGCTTTGAATCAACAATTTCAGGCGTTCACGCTACGCCGNCTTCTCTTCAGCGGAAGTCGTGTAGTCATTTGGGAATAGACCGTGAAGAAATTCAAATCCACTTCCTTCTAATTCCCTCATCAACACAGCATCGTCGTGAAGGGGTTTGAGAAAGGCCGCCAGTTCAGAGATGAAGCTCTCCAGCGAGTCTAACCGTTGTTGGAGATTTGTACACGCATCTCTGTCCTCGTCAATTGCCAACTGAACATCTTTTAATCCCAGCTTTGTAAGAATAATCTCAGCTACTTTGGAACCAGACATGACCAGACCACCAGCGCCACCAATGCCAGCTCCGACAAGAGAAACAACGATCCCAGCCCCAAACGTAAAGGGTGCAGCAATAAGGCCCGCAATCGACAAGACCCCGCCGACGGTACCCAATCCTGCCCCTGTTATGGTCGTGATATTCACATTTCTGTGGTGTTCATGTAGTTTTGATGCCAGTTCCTCCAGTTGTTCCTTGGTCCGTCTTCTCTTTGGAATCCATTCAATAAAAGCCTCGTTCAGTTCTTCACGCAACTGACGTAAGTTTTCAAACTTCTCAGTGATTTGATTCACTATAAATGATTCTTGAGGATCGGGCAAGTTAGTGTTGTCCTCATCACTCTCTGTGCCTGAGGAACCACTGCAACAAAATAGCCAAGGAAATATTTAACAAATATTAAAAACTTTAACAAATACTTAGCAAATATTTTAAACATTTTCACTTACTGAGAGGTACTGATATACACTGAAAAGTGCGGGCTACAGGACAAACTTGAACATTACTTATTAGCGCGATCTCGTTGGGCGAAAAGCGATAGCTCAAAAAGGAAAAGAAGGATGTGAATCGAGCAAGGAAATTTCCAGTGGGATCGCAGCGTGAGATTCGTGCGTGACTCGTTCATTGGTATATCGAAACTAACATAACAATGTACCATGACCCTACTGAGACCTTTTACGGATGTCACGCAATATCAATGATTTTTCGTATTTTTCAAATACCCCCCAAAAAACCCTCCATAGTTCAATTTATCATACTAAGTTTAATAAACCTACGAAGTTTTATAGCAAACTCATAAAAAAAAAATGGGACCCCAAAGTTGCAAGGAAATGTGTGCCAGGGTGCAAGCCTTGTCCTTACATACATTTCTTTGTAAAAATGAGTTTGCAACGGATTCTAATGAAACTTTACACATTTACTAAAGTCGGCACGATAAATCGAGCGGTGCGGTTTATTTTTTTTTGTTTGAATGAAAAACTCTGAAAAGCGTGACATCGGTGAAAAGATCCATTGTTTTGACAGATATTATCAACAAGTGTTGCGTGACCAATACAAGTTAAGTTGACAGATAGAAAAAAATTTGCATAATGAATGCCCAACAGCTGAATTTACTTTGTTTGTAAAGTTTCGACCGCTGTACCCTCCATGACTGAACTGTAAAGTTGATAAAATAACTCGTACGACAATTCGGATTCAGCGAGTTCCTTCGCCTCGCTGTTTCGCCGCCTGTTTACTTTTGGCGAAAACAATTAAGGAAGTGATACAAACGATTAAGTGTAGACGTACAAACATTTGGTTCAAGATTTCTTAAAAATAGTCATAATCCATTTATCCGACCCGAAGCAACAGTCTATTAGGTAACGAATATCTCTCGCGAACTCATAGGTGTAGTATTTTAAATATGCACACGCGATGTTTACAGCGAACACAGCAGATGAGGTGATCACTAACGCTCTTCCTAACAAATCTTTTATTCTTTTGTTGGCGTTCTGGAATAATTAAACAAAACAGCATTGTTTCATCGTCAACTTCGTCCATGTGATAACCAAACAGGACTGACGCTAGACCGAGGGCTTTGGCGTTAAAAAATGTCCTCGTACAGTGTGAAATATGTAGTAGCGCGGGGCATGTTATCAAATTTCAGAGTATCTACATCAAATATTGCTACATGATCAGTATCTATTGAACAAACCTTTGTCCGCTGGGATTGCCTTCCTCGAGGTAAAAACTCATTCTTTTGATAAACTTTACGTGGACACACTATGACGTTGCATCTGTATTCAGCTGTATCTTATTATAATGCACGAAACCTAATATTCACTGGTATTCAGTTCCAAGAAAAACCAGCCATTGAGTTCAGTTGATCCAATTCCTAGAATCTTTGCCCTTCGCAACTGTTGAAAGCTGATTCTTTCTTTAAATAAACCGTTCACATGTACTCAAAATCCAGCAGAATAATTGTTTGTCACCTCTTGTTCGATATAATCACGAGTATTTTCACGATTCACTGCAGTTTAAATACGTTCCTCTAAGCTTGAGCGTGCGCGAACCAGTTCAGTCCTATTGTCACGTCATCATAAACTATAAATATGGCGTGACGGAAAGGTTTCTTGGAGGAAACGAAAATTGTGACTGTAACTGCTGCACTATTTTTTCTGGAACAACAGAAAACTGTGACTGCAGAACAGAGCTATTTTTGTTCGAGTTCAGCATATGTCGGAAGCCTATCAGGCGAGTAGCATAATGGGCGGACATGCCGAACGCACGAGTTTTTTTCGCGCAACTGTATCTTTTAGTCGGGGGAGGAGTATTACACCTTTTGCTGTTCATTTACAGAAAATATCCCTTCATTTGAGTCCAAATTTGTTTCATTATGGTCAATATACTCTCATTAATTAACACCAATATGACCTTCATTTGCGCGGAAGGAACGTTCAAGAATAATACTTGCATATGTATTAACATTCAAAATCATCAAAAGATAAACAATATCTTCCTTTGACATTCATTGGCTGTAAACGTATATTCATTTTTGTCGAAACAAAATTCGTTGTCACGAAACGACAATCATTTACACTTTTGGACAATCCTTTTTCAACAAAATACTTTCAATAACACAATTTGCATGAGCACTCACAATCAATTGCATTATTATACAACCACTTTTTGACCTTTTTAATACTTCCTTGAGGGGAGGGGTCAGGGGTATTCGTTTTTGCCTTCACGCGCGGTCATTGCTTTCCACGCTAGAGATTTATCGCTAGCAGATTTATGTGTTAATGGATTTTCCAAAATTATGGAAAGGAAATGACTGCCATTGCACAGGTAAGTAAATCTGTGCTTCAGTAGTGACTGCTTAGATCTAGGCAGCAAGAGTAGTAATTTGAAAAGGGGACAATGACAAATAAAATACTGTGGAGACCCAGTTTCTGAATCCTTCATTTCTTACAACCTTACATTAACCTGAACTAAATGTCATTGCTCATGGCCTTCATCCACTGAAAATCCCAAATTATACAACTTCTTGAACCAAGTTTCCTTTCCATTGGCTGTTCAACAAATAGGCCCTTTGCAGCTGGGGTCACGTGACCAAATTTTTCTTAAAACATATTTGCATTATGGGCTATAACTTAAAGAATGCCAGCAATGGAAAGAGCACATCAAAAATAACCAAATGGCCAAGTTTGAGGCCCCAGGAATTAACAAGTAAGTTTATATCACAGTTTGAATTTTCGGAAAATTTAGAGGATTTGTATGGAAAATGTTGCTGGAGAGCAAGGTCTTGCTCTCCAGCAACTTTTTGTATACAAATCTTCTCATTCTTTCAAAAATTCAGACCGTCATAAAATCTTATTCTCTGATGATGGGGGCCTCAAACTTGGCCATTTTGATATTTTTGACATGCTTTTTCCATTTCTGGCATTCATTAAGTTATAGCCCATAATTTTATGAAAAGTAGGTCACATGATGGCTTAGCTGCGAAGGGCCTATTGGGGCTCCACTAAATGATGACCATTTACTAGAATCTTGGTTTTATCACAGTTCCCAAATGATAATTAATTCAATTGACTTGCTCGTTGTGAGATCTCTTGTGGTAAGTACTCAAAAGCTCTACCAAGTAGCCCAGTGTACCTCACTGGATAAATGTTATTCATGGTTATTAACTAGGCATTGGGTCAAGAGTGCTGAAAATTGGACTATTACTTTTCTTTGCGTGTTTATCGACTAGGACACAAGTCAAGTGCTATGAACATGCAAAAATAGAACAAGGCCAGTAAAATCCAATCGCTATGAACATTCAGACTTTGTCAACACAGGTTATAATATATGGTATATTATAAAGAATGCCATTTTCTGGTTGTAATCAGTGGGTAATCCTAAGCAAGCATGATAGCACAATCTTGCTGGCTCAGATAGCCAATCACAGCACAGGATTTGATTCATTTCATCTGCATGTGCAGAAAGCCATTACATTAAAGTTGGAATACATGCTACAGGTAGGTAACGCAGCAAGAGTTACTGTGTTTCTTTTTTTTTTAATCAAACAGAAGTTGACTAATCTAATTTAAAGATGCTCAACCACATCCTTGACATAGTGTCGTGAAACACAGTCCGTAACTAAATACAAGTGTTCCAGCAGTTTCTTTCAAAGGCAAGGCATACGATTGAAACCTTTAAGCTCAATGTTGGCTAAACATTCCCCTCACTTTTTCTGATACATTCTCTATAAATTAACTCTCCTTTGGAAAATTGGTTTTCTTAAATTTGTCGAATAAAAGTAATGAGAATCTAGGCTTCAATCACTCTGAAGGAGATGAGGTTAGAATAAGGGGCATAATAGTTTTGACAAGATCCTGCATGTGTTTTATCAGACGTCCTACACTCAAGATTTCTTAGTGTCTTCTGCTTTGGATTTCTCTGCTTTGTCCTTTTCCTGACTATTCTTATCTTTGGTATCTTTGTCCTTGGTTTCTTTGCTTTTGTCTTCTTTCTTGCTAGCCTCGTCTCTCTCTGCATCCCTGTTGGCCACTTTATTGTTGATCAGATTGTGAAGAGCGATCACAGCACGAACAAGGGAAGCCACATAAACAACTAACATCTGATCATTGGTTTTCACTGACAACGACTTGACAAATTCTTCCAGGCTTAAGTTTGGTAGCAAATTGAACACGTCTTGTAATTGGTAGATGATGGTGTGATTGACAGGAAGTTTACCTGTCGCTACTTTATCCAGATAGTCTCTGATGTCTTGAAGACGTGAGTTAAGACCTTTAAGTGATAGCAACTGGTTGGTAATGCGTTGTGAAAGTGTCCCAGCAGTTAGATTCTTTATATCCCTGATGGCAACAAGGAAAATATTCACATCAACACTTTTGGCTTTTAAGCTAATATTAATGTCCAAATTCTTCCTACCAATCTTCATACATTTCTTATGGTACAAGTTAAGAGAATTTGACACGTCTTAAATAAATCCTATTTGGGGAGAAGGGTTAACGCAGTGGTGAGGGAGCTCGCCCCCCACCAATGTGGCGCAGGTTTGATTCTGGCCCGGTGCTATATGTGAGTTGAGTTTGTTGTTGGTTCTCGCCTTGCTCCAAGAGTTTTTCTCTGGTCACTCCGGTTTTGAATTCCTCCCTCTTGAAAAACCAACATTTCCAATTCCAGTTCGACCAGGATAGAGGACCAGCATTAAAACCAGCTAGGGATGATGTGGCTCCTTCTCTAAATATTATAATTTATTAGTTTTTTTTATTTTAAGTTTGTCTTAACCAAAATTCCAGCACTAGTCAACAGTCAACAAAGTCACATATCCTCTTGCCTGACGCCTATTTTCTTAGCTTTTGGAGATATTGAGATGTTGGTAAAATAACTTGTAACACTTATTACCTGAGAAGATGTTCAACACCAACTTCCTCAGCCTCTTCTGCTCCTATCTCACTAGAAATGTGTTCAAATGTTTTTGTTGTTGGAGTTCCATCCTGAAAAAAAGGTTGAGAATTACAGATTCCCATTAACACACAGGTGTGTGACTTTTACGCACAAAAAATGAAAAGGACACACAGTTTTTTGGTAAAGTGAGTCCTTGGGATGCAGGAAAAATGTTCTGAAAATTTTATTAATAGGCAAAGGACCCCTGAAAAGTAAAAAGAACCCCCACCTCTTTGGAGCTGGGGGAGGGGGGGGGGGGGGGGGGGGGGGGTCCAAGGACCCTAACTATCAAAACTAGTGGGAAATCTGGAATCATACATTGACTGGTAAATAAATCAGTCACTGCAAAAATGATAAATCTGTGACTTAGACATAACTCGCAAACTCACATCATGTACTTCCTCAACAGCAACATATGCGTCTGTAGGTAAGCCAAGATCTTTAGGTTTTGCGTCAATAATAACAAGCACCTGATGATAACAAAGATTTCAACTTAGTGATCATAAAATGGTGGGCATCCCTGCCACTGCCTTGGTTTGTAAGTATATACAGAGAAGATTATAGAAAATTGTAATTTCCTTGTGTAACATTTTGCATGGACAAGAAAGGAACTGAGCTGAGTGTTTGTATTTTGGATGTGTCTGTAATTGTATCAATAATAGTTTCTTTGTTGACAAGTGAACTGTCCATAGTGTAGAGGCGATGTGTCCACAGGTAGGTAAGGTAAGCATAACGTTTGTAAATGATCCAAGTGGCCCATCAGGCCAAAGCTTATCCCAGTTTCTGAAGCATGAAATGACTTTGAGTATTTCTACTCCCTCCTGGATGGGATGTTAGTCCACCACAGGATTAACCTAGTATTTAATATACCGGTACCCATTTATACACCTGGGTGGAGAGAGGCACCGTGAGGGTAAAGTGTCTTGCCCAAGAACACAATACAATGTCCCTAGCCAGGGCTCGAACCTAGACTGCTCGATTTGGAGACAAGCACACTATCCATAAGGCCACTGCATCATGTGTCAATAGTTTGGTATCAAAATGTGTCTGTATTATGGCATTAAGGTTTTAAGGAGACGATGACTGAATATAGGGGTACATTCAACAATAACAGCAACAACTGCAACAACATAAAGTACAACATAAGGCTACAATCTGAGTGAAATCAAAGACAACGGCAATAGAAAGTACATAGGATTTACCATACTGTATATAGAGAAACCAATTCAACAAAAATTCATTGAACGATACGACACTCCAAAGGTGACATACGGAAAATACGCCACTCGGGTCCCGGATGAAGTGGCGTATGGAATCTACGAGTGGTTTAGTTCCCAGTAAAACACTCTTCTCCATATAATAAAATTCCATTATGATGTTCTATGAATGATAACTTCTAAAAGAAAACGTGTACAAGTACAAATCCAAACACAGATCAAGACAAATGTTTTCTTACTGAATTAGAGCAGTATCTCCTGATTAACTCATTCACTTTAACATCATTATGGTGTAGCTTTGGCCCAGTATGATACCAGCCGACAATTCTCTCCCGGGCTGTAAAGAAACAAACAAACCACTATAAATTTATTGTCAACCACACAAGTTTTCTTTGTTCACTTTCCTTGTGTAAGATTATTTTTGGCAATTGTCCGAATCATATCTCCCCACCTGCCAAAAAATTGGTTTGCTCATCAAGTGCTGAACTAGAAACATAAAATCACTCCAAAACCCATCAGAGATCCTCAGAAAAATGTGTTGTGACGTCATTGAGATGACCACAATTTCAACAAATCAAAAAAGAGTCAGCCCCAAAAATATGACAAATTTTCCATGAGAATTTCAAACCCCTATCTGGTCAACTTACCAGAAGTTGGAAACTTAGCTAGTAAGCTTATGTGTGTAGTCTTCTATGATTAACAGCACATACCATTCACTTTCTTGAACATTCCATACATGTTTTCTAGGTAATCGTGATCTAAGAACCATACACTCGGATCTTTTTCATCTTCGTCAAAAGGAACTATCGAAGGCAAAATACACGTCTGTCACTACAGAAGATCAGTAGATAGTGGGTAGATCAGAGTGACAAGGTAAACACGTGCAAGATAAAACGACAAAAAAAAAGGGTGATGCTTAAATGAAGCTCACTCCGACAAGGCAGTATCATGTAGAAATCTAAAATTAACCATCTCAAAATTCATAATTCTACTGGAAAAAAAGGTTATGATGGGCACTTATTCTCACCAGCAAAACTGTTCGCTACATCGAGGACACCTTTTCGCCTGGAACCTAGCAATACTCCGACAACTCGCTTCTGGTTTCCAACTTTACCCATTCGATAAAAGTGATCTACGACGCTTAGTAACACAATCGGGTGGACCACCACTTTGGTGATCGGTTCTTCTGGTCCAGGCATTGTAATTTGCCAAAGATAAACGACGAAGAAAAAAACTTCTTTGAAAGAAATGTGACACTTCAAGATGGCGGATGAGTCGACAAATATTCTCTCCCCAGGTGCGCGCGGTTAAAAGTGTTCAAGGCATTGTGGGACAAATAGGAATTGCCAAGAATAGCTAACACGCGCGCGTCACGCGCGCGTAAGACGTTTTAGATTAATAAATTGTATGCAAAATGTATTTCTCGCGATATAAGCATTTTATCTTTGGGCAACAATGTTTCTTCGCTTAACTAAGCCCTAGCCTGCGCAGCAGGGGGAGGGGTAGGCAAAGCGCGCATGGAAGGAGAGGGACTGGCTCCTGTCCCCGTTTAATTTACGCCTGCAACGCAGGCTACTAAGTCCTGGCCTTGAGAAAAACTTACGTTGTTTGACGAAGCATTGGCCTCAATAAACAAGCCCTACTGCCTTTATAGTAATGCCAGTTTGATTATACACTTCTAGTGAGGTCTGACACGAGCATCAGAAAGAGATCGGAAACCTTTACCAGTTCGTTTTGTTTCTTGACGCGTTTGGACCTTTGCTTTTAAAAGATTTTTAATACATTTGTAAGCCCTTTCTGTAAGGGTTCTCTATCTCATCTCATTGTGATCATGTATTCCAGATTACCAGGTATTTCACCTCTCTCGGGGATTTCAATTCACCCTTTTTCCCAGTGACAACCCCCCGATTTTCTCATTCAAGCATGAAAATGAGGAAAATGCAAGTATATTTGGCAATCTTAAAGCAACAATTTTCTTACTCTTATTGTTATCCAAAGAAAGGTATCAAATTTAGGATATTTATATCTTTTTTTTTTTATGTTACGTCAGTTGCTTGCGAAATAAAGTGTCTGTGAGGCAAAAGCGTTAAAAGTACGATATCGAATTTATTTGCTATAAATAATAACGCTGTCCAATGCTGTGTCGTTACCATGGTAACCCACGAGTTTCAACTATTATGCCCAATAGGCCTTACTAAACTGTGATATATTCGTTGAATAATACACGATTCCTTTTACTTTGCGATCTTCTGAAGTAGAAAACAAAAAGTCGCCCTCTGTATTTTCCTGAAACTGTTGGCCATGATTTCTGGGCTCACCCCTTATTATCTAGTACTAGTCACTCGCGTGCACGGCTCTTGACATAGAAATGACATAAAACAGTGCGCATGTAAGAAGAAGTAATTATTTTAAATTCTGTGGTCAAAATGTTAGCATTATGACGTGAGCTAGTGTAATATTGTGTAAAATTTGCTTAACAGTCGTTTAAAGGAAAGATTTATTCATTTATACATGTAAGACTATTATCCAAAAAAATCAAGGGGCCCTCAGCAAAGCAAGATTGCCCTTAGTTAAGGCAAATTAAGTTGAATTTCTAGAAAATTAAATATCTATCCGCGTTCTCTTGAACAAAGGCTTTTCATTTGCATTCTGTTGAATTTTTTTTTGGCAAAAAGGTATTAGCATTTCACAGTTAAACGGCTTATTACCAATGTGCAGTTCTTGGAGTTAAACGTGATTCAGCAGGGGCTGAGCCCGTTCGATCGCTCGATTCATGGCCTAAATAACTGTTCTTTTCTTCTTAACCAGGGTGATCAAGCGTTCTTAAAGGAATTCATGATGTTCTCCACATACTGTCTGTGTGTTAATCGCCCAGAACGAATCACAAATTTTTATAAATATATACAAGATGCATAAATACATTTAAAATGCACTTCTTTAGCAATACACCATGGAGTCCATCCTCACCATGGTTATCAGCGCTTTGAATTTTAATTCTTTTAGCTTAGAACACTTAAAGCTTATCATGTTCACGTACTGGGCAAACGGGAAGTCTAAGTACATAAGTCAACAGACAAAACGCAACTAGACAATTTGCGCAATTATGTTTCAACAATCATGTACAATAATTTGAGAAGTTATTTAAATGTGCGCAAAAACACTTGGAGAAAGAAAGCAGAAAAAGAAAAGTCAAGGTACAGGGTTGTCTCTCGGTGATTTAAATGCATTTTGCGCAATATTTAAAAACCATCTTAAGATATGACAAGTTCACAGACGTCACTAGTATCACGGTTTCGCTGTGTGTTCGCGCGCTCAATTTTTCTTCCTCGCGAAGTACGTCTCGTCTGAATGTACATAATACTGATGACGTAACTATATAGAGATCCGTGTAGCACTTCTGATTGGTTGCAACTTCGCGCGAAAATTCGCAACTAAGTCATTAGTATCGTATCCCAGCCTACTCTTGAGCGGAAGATCTCTCGAGCGGAAAAAAGTCTTTTTAATAAAATTACATCATATTCTATATTCTTCCTTCTTCCGACTACCCAAGTAAGCAAGTTATGCCCTCAAAAGCACGAGACACTTGACTTTATCTATCTTCAACAAACGGGGGCGGATAGACATATGGGTATCACGGGACTGATCATTACGTATTGCTCCAAAAATAGCTTGCGCGCGAAAATTCATTAGCCGGGAAGTCGAACAACTAACCTGAGCTGTCAAAACCACGCACTTAACGCAAATTGAAATGAACGCGAGAGAGCGTGAACCCAATCTAACCCAATACTGGTTTCTTGATCGACCCTCAATAACTACGTACACTGAAAATGAAATGATAAATTTTTTACTCTTTAGAATTTTTGATGTGACCGCTCTCTCTGTCTCTCTCTGTCTCTCTCTCTATCTCTAAATAGTCCTCTGACAACATTCAAGCAGAACCTTGTTTCCCTAAAATGTGCATGAAAGTAACAGTTACTAGAAATACGAGCTACGAGCCAGTGTGGACTAAATCCAAACTCTAAAACTACGTTTACCACAAATAGCAGTTGTAGTCTGAAAATAAATGTTGTAAAGCTTGCTTTAGATACAAACCTTGACCCCGGGTCTTGACCACTGTGGCAAAAGGGCTAGTTTTGTTATTCATTTGCTCTTCGCATTTATCAGTGATATGTACTACTGCTTTCAAATATGGCTCGTATTTTATGAGACCCAAGTATTCTGATTTATATTTNAAAAAAAAAAAAAAGAGAGAGAGAGAGAGAAACTTGTATTCCAGGAATTAATTGCGTGACCAAAAAGGTAAAAATAATTAATTAAAATTTTCACAGCATTTTAATAACACACTTAATTTACATGTGAGAAAGAAAGGTAAACACCTATTTTTACACGAAGTAGTAAATGGGTTAAACCAGGTTTTGCTTAGTTAATTTTTCAACTATATAATTATTTACAGTAATCCTCGAAGTCTCGATTATTACTCGTCAAAAACCTTGAGAATTTTTCTGCGATATCTCTAAGATTGGTTTTAATTTTGCCTTGTTTGTGTTTCTGCAAATATTATGGTGACCTCATGCTGTGAAAAAGGGGTCCAGTAGCCAAGAATTTTCCGTATAATATAAGCCGACATATTGGTTTATTAAAGAGATCAGAAATGATTTTTACATCATGATGACCAATATCTGAGCAATAAAGGACTTAAAATTATCTATTAACGCTACTTGGATCCGTTTAAAATTGCGCAACTTTTAACAATGTGCACTTAAAATTCAAACTACAATTTTAATCCCACGATTGAAAGTACGCGACCACACAAAATCGTGGGCGCATCAGTTTCACTCGAGGGGAAGCATTTTGCTGATAAATTTAGCAATAGTATTTTACTTCCGGGTCACGCTTATTGTTGCTATTTTTAAACCGAATATGATGAAATTCTAAGAGGAAATTCTACGAAGTTGGTTGCAAAAAGATTGTCGACGGCTCTTGCTTTCCTCAGAATTCCTCAGAATTCCTCAAAATCTGCACTCTCAAGTCGAGGCTCTCTCCGACGGCCAATCAAATGCGATGTTACCGTTACGTCACAAGATGCAAATGAGTAGAGCAGCCATCTGCTGATGTCTATGTGGTGGTGGTGTTGAACATTTTATATTCATATATTGCCTCAAAAGTTTATTTTGTTGTCCACGGTTCGTGCAGATATTTCTTTCCATGGCATGATTCTTCTTCTAAGACCGAGTCATGGCTCAGGATGTTAGGGAGCCATATTTCGACGAGACAGGCTCGACACATTCGGTGTCCACCGCTAGTGATGTTCATGAACAGGTAAGAAGGAACGAACGAACCGACTTGCTAGCTTATTCCCTTCATCGATTTTTGCCCTTCACGACGCTTATAAGCGAAATCGAGAATTGTCTGTCGTTCGTTTTGATATCTTGAGTTAATTTGTTACGAAGTAGTTTTCCTAACTCAGCTTTTCTCGTTTTGTTCAGGGCTGGGATCGACCTTACCCGAGAAGAATACGATCTTATAAATCGCCGGACGGCTACCGAAAGGTACATATATACTCTATTACCTCGACAATAAGTCGAAATTGGGCCTATAGAAAATGTTATAATTTGCCTGGGTTGTGACGCTTTAAATATACTGAATGTGTTGGAAGATTTTGTCGCAAAAATGGTCGGAGCTTCGTTGATTTCAATCGCTTAGCTCGGCATACTTGCATATTAATACGTGAAAAGAACAGACTGGTGGGTTTCACAACAGTCAGATTTTTCGCGTTCTTGCATAATTATTTTCCCAGCAAGCTGTTGTATACAAGAATTGAAACCCTGTAGAATCTAGTAGTTGTGGATTTGTCCTTACAGCGGCAAGATTTCTTTGTACGATGATCCCTGTTTCGATCAAGTCACCTCGCGTGTTGACGTTCGTAGACATTTCATTGCCTTTATTTTATATGGCAAAGTAGTTCGACTTTCATTTCATTGCCGTTGTGGAAAATTGATTCTTAGATATATATTTAGGCAATAATAAAACATCTTCTGGACGTTAATCGCCATTAGTTGATGGCCGTTATAATCCTACAAACACAGTTATTGCTTTGTAGCGAGCTGGCTTTGGGTCATTTTGCCCAATTCAAAACAATAATTCAGTGTTCGTCTTGATAATAATTATGATGGCTATTTCAGAACAGCTCTGATACAGGGCTGATAGTTGATTGTTAAAGAGTATCTGCAGGTCAGATCTGCTGTTCTGTGGAAGGCGTGTGTCTGTATAACATTGTGATTCTTGTTTATGTTGACATCTTTCAAGATCAGTGTTGTGGATGGATCTTGAATCATGACATACAATGAAAAAGCGTCACATAAACTTATTATTTCCAGAAGGGATATCTTTGTAGTAGTCTGTTTTTTAAAGAGTTTCTCTCAGTGACTCCTATGCAATTTTAAGTTATTTGAGTCTTATGAAAATCAAGTGAACATCCCAAGATTAAATGGTCAAAATCCGTTGGATCTGAACGGCTTTGATTTCAAAGTGAGCAATAAGATCTCACTTTTGATACTCCGATTAAGTGTGATTTTGATCTTCATACAGGCAAGCTTAAGTGTCTATTCACAACTGAATAATATGGGAAGAGTCCACCTTGTAAGGTCACAACATCTAATTTGAAAAATATAATAAATTTATATGGTTATGTCTTTCTTCTTGTTAGAAATATAATGTTTGACATGCAACTGAATACTAGCTGTGCTTTGGTGGTACTCAAGGGTAAAGTTTGTCTATGTTAGCATTCAGTTGACACGAGGTTACAAAATTGCTGAGTGAGCAATTTGGTCAGTGATTTTTTTTCCTACATATCCCAACATGTTACTTCTTGGTCTGATAATTTTATTATACAATTAACACCACTCAAATTACGTTCAGCAAAAGGACAATATAGGTTTTGAATTGTTGCCATGATATATGCAAGTCGGCATTAATTTAAGGTTTTTAGTAACTTGACATGCAAAAAGTCAAAATTGTGTTCTGCTTTTTATTTTGTGTCTTGTTTGAAATCATGGTGCTTGCACATGTGTAATTGTTGACTTAAAAGCCAATTATACTTTTGAGCTAATCCCATCATTTTACTAAAACAATTCTCTCTCTTGTGTTTGCCTTAAGCTTGAATTAAATTACATTAGTCATGCTCACTTAAGCATTTTTAATGTGTTATCCATTCCTGACTGCAATTTCGGCTTGAGTCTTCTTCTGCATTCTGTTTCTCAGATTTATTTGTGTTCTGTTTGCCTGAGTGTGTGTGAGGAATATCTCACAGGCTTGAACAATGAAGATCTCACCTTGTAATGAAAGTATAAGGGTTATGTCATTGAATTACTATCATAATGTAATTATTATGTAATACCTGAACTGTGACATCTAGTGTCACCAATATTGATATTTCAGTGTCTTTTAAGGGTATTATACTGCTTTTGTGGAGTGAAGGAAGTTTATAATAAATGTTCTCCGAACATTTTGTTCTATGTGTATCAAAATTCATGCTTATTTCTTTAGTTTATTGTGACTTGTTTGAATTTGTTGTCGAACATGTGAACCTGACAAGCAAAAATTCTGTCTAATTTCCATACAGTTCTTGTAAGGTTCAAAGCCATGTTATGTACACAAGGGTCACTTCCCAGTCATTGCTTTTTTTCCAGTTTCCTGTTGTCTGTTTGTTTGAAATACCTTTTGACAATTTGTGTTCAACTGCTGGTAGGATCCATACCAGGAGTTCTTAGAGTTACAAACATTTCTCTTCTCAGATACATCTCTAGGTTTAAATATTTTCCACACATACCTGTCCATGAGATTCTGTTTCTCCGCTGGCAGTTACACAAAATCTTTTCCCCTCCTTTTACACTTTCCTAGTGATTAAATGAAAAGCAAGTCTAGTGCCATATCAACTTGAAAATGTGCTTCCATCTCAAAGTTCCACAGTTTGGAAAAACAGGCTCTAAGACATGCAAATAAAGTGCTGTTGCATTCTTGTGTGGCAGACGAATGGCATTCAGTGTGTGAGAATTCAATCTGAAAAGTGTGTCATTAATACAAGGTTAAAGGTCAAAGAATGTTTCTATTTAATGGACAGTTCACTTCTAAGCCCATTCTTCTCTCTTAAAATGTTCTGTTCCATTTGACAGTGTGCTTATGAGTTCATTCTTTATTTCTTTTTCTGTATTGATATTTCTGTTTTGTTAAAGAAAGGTTGAGGTGGTCTCATTTAATCTAGGCTATTCATAGGCAACAAAAAGAAGGGAATATTTCTTCTGCATGCATGTGTTTGTGACATGAAACCTGATATTTAGATAACATGCTTGAGCAATCAGCTGACAGATAGATAGAAGATAGTTAATTTTTATCAGTATATTTCAGGATGAATATCCATTGATCAGCTGAATATTAAGCTACACAGAGCATCAAAAAATATTGAAAAAGTGACACCCTAATATGTTCCGTTCCTCCAGGAGAAACAAGGTGAAGATCATATATACAGATTATGTTTCACTTGGTAATGTTAAAACCATATGCATGATTCTTTGTGTCGGTAGAATTCATAGTTGCTAGTAGTAGCATTGTGCTTATTATTAGTGCTGTGAGTTATATTTATATATAAGCTGATGATTTGGAAGATTTTGTTGAAGCTTCTGTACATGTATTTCACCTACTATATAACATTCAGCTGGACTAAACTGAGGAAAGTGTTATTACGATTTGTGACTTATGTATAGACTGTTATCTGATGAAATGTGTATGTAGGACTGTTCAGTTTTTCTGTGCAATGTTATGTTTAGAGCATACACAAAGCTCTTCCTATAATCAGTTCTTTGCTTGCAGTCTTGAAATGTAACAGACCTTTAAATGTACCCATTATGGATAATTTTCATTGCTTAGTTCCTCTGCTTTGCTCTTAAAGACTGCAACCCATCAAACAAAGATCATCATTGAATGTGAAACATAAGGTTAAAAATCTGTTTCTTGTTTTCTTGCAAGGGTTGTTTAGATTCCTCTGTCTGCATTATTTTTAGTTTCCTGTCCAAATATGATGTGCAAACATGTAAAAAACATTATACTTTTGCCATGAATGTTTGTACTTTTGCGTCTTATATCTTTAGCATTTTCATGACACTTTGCATTGTTTAACCAGTCCTTTTATCATTCTGGACAAGGTTGATAAAAGAAGAACAATAACAAATTATTAGGTTAAAAGTAATGCTCTTTGTTTACGTGGCAATCTGATTTCCTCTTTATTTGATGAAGAATCTTCTGGACTTCCATGGCATAGCTTCATTTTCTGCTAGAAGATTCTAGTTTGTAAAATATTTCACTAACAAGTATGTGAAATGTTCTAAGCATTTACAATGAACCTTTCTTAAAATCAAGAGGCAAGCGAGCACACAGGTTTATTTGGTTCAGCACTGTTGTAGTCAATCCGTTCAGTGTTTTGCTAACGGCTGTTTCCTTTATCCATGGCTCAGTCTGCTACTAGCAATCTACTGACTGTTCCTAAAATTGTAAGTAAATTTTTTGTTGTTACCTTACTGTTACTAAGTGTCATCACTTTGTAAGCAAGTTGGAGTATTGCAAATGTTTCGTCATTGTGGATACATGTACTGTACATATTTGTTTGTGTGCCATTGTGGTCTCCACTCTCCACAGTTGAATTAACTACTTTGCTATCCTTGATTGAAACTTGAGCAGATTTGCAATGTTCATTGGAATAATATGTTATCATGTATATGTGCCATAAAGCTATCATTCTGTGTTTAGCAGATATAGTTTAATAACCATATAGTTTTCGACTTGCCTCATAAATATGATTGTCTAAACTATCACAATGGATTATTAATACAGCACAATTATAACTGTACGTGTATGGCTCATTGTATATTTCATCAAGGTTTATATCTAACTAGTAAAATTTTGTGTTTGTTTGTGTTGTCCTGTGTTAGAAATGAGAAGCTTTGTTCAGCAACAATCACTTAGAACTGAGGTTGCATGAAATGAACTTTGCAGATGTGACAGTGACTTCAGCTCCAAATGAGTTTGGGTACTGAAAAATCTGTTCATGTTTTCTTGACAAGAGTTGTTTAGATTTCCACATAACATTGATTTGACTCTTGAATCCTTGATTCCAGATTCTGTTTTCAGTTTGATCAAAACATTTCTTTCCTTATGCAGACCTCATTGTTAGGCATGCATATTTTCACAACTTTATAAAGTTGCCTTGTCTCTGTTTCTCTTTCAGTCACTCATTACTTTCCTGTTGTGTTTGATTGAGAAGTGCATGTAGAATGTTTTGTATATATATGTACACCAATTTCTCAATGTTGAGCAACCAAAAAAAATTGTTGAAGTCCACTGTTCATGTCTGTTTTGCATGATATATGAAGTATGTTGTAAGGAACATAATGTATAATTGAATCAAAATATAGTATCATAATATTTCAACAACCATAGTTGAAATTGTAAGAAATTCACACCCATGTCTACTTATTTTATACAATGCAGTATGCCTTTA